AGGCTCCCAGGGGTACTGGGGTAACAGGAGCAAGGGTCTGCGGGTCTAGTAAAAAGCATGTTGTGCTGGGTGAAGAGAAAGGAAAGTTAAGGGGGTGAAGAGGGATGCACATTCAGGTGCGAAGCCGAACTACCCTCTGTGACCCAATACTCTCAGAAGACTGCCTGTCCTTGAGGAAGGCCTGGGTCAAGGTTGGTATCGCTGCTCTGCAGAGAGCCCATAGACTTGCAGCCATACGTGCCCTTTTCGTTCTCTGGCACAGAAACATTGTGCAAACAGGCAAGGGTCTGGAGGCTTATGGGGACCCGCAGACTAGGTAAACTAGGGAAGGGGACATTCACCTCACTCTTACTGCCATGTGGATTATGCGGCCACCGAAATCCTTCCTTAGATGACATGTAGAAATTGTCTTGATTTCATTAGCAGCGATCAGTGCAAGGAACTCATCAGAGAAAAGGTAACACGGGGATCTTCTCAAGTGAATTGAAAAAAGAAAAGAAAAGAAAAATCTTATTTTCCTTCAGTCAGAACCAACGCCTCTTTGGTGGACCCCAATCTGGGAAAGAGAATGTTTGACATGTAAAAGGAAGAGAAAGCATAGGCCAAGGGCAGGCGGAGAGAAAAAGTTTTCTCTACCCATTTGAGGAACGGTGATTTATAAGACCGTGCAAACTGGCTCCTCTCTTCTCCAGATGTGGAATGGCTTCTGATAATGACATGGTGGTTTCGTTAAAGGGCAAGCTCTTTGGACTCCCCTAGTTCTTGATCAGACACGCAGTCACCCACCCCTCGCTCTCCCCCCGGACCAGACTCACACACAAGGGAAGAAAAGCCACCATGTAGGAGGGAGGAGCACAGTCGTCCCTGGGCCACTCACTCACCATCATCTGTAGGTTTCTGCACCATCACAAACGGACTTCCCACTCTCATGTCTGGCTTAACAATCTGTACCCAGTGGCCCTAAAGAATCAGAAACGTGCCTCTCCTCCATCACAGATGCACTTGGACCGGTGTCGGCTAGCCATTTCTGGGTCCCCTAGCTATGCACCCTGTGGTTAAGACTTTCTTTCATAGTATTTGTTCAGAGCTTTAAAAAAAGATTAAAAAAAAAAAAACCCTTGGTTACTTCTTTTGTTTTTAATTTTGAAAAACTGAACATAATCCCCAAACAGGGTAAGGAGCCCAACACGGTGAGCACGTTCCTAGCTGGTTTTTAAGTGTTAGAGCAGGCAAGTGTAAAATGTTCAGTGCCCTTCAAGAGTCAAAAGAAACGCATAAAGCAGAGCATGCATTTTGGTGCCACAAAATTAAGACTGGATTTGGGGAGGGATTACTTCATTTAAGTTACATTGCTATTGTTAAAGAATAGTGAGTAATAATGCAATATCTAGAACATATATAACCACCTACACACTAGCATCACTTTATCTAGAAACAAACGTATCAGTGTCACTGACGGAACATATTTATAAAATACTGTACACTGCTTCCGCATGGGGTTAGCAGATGTAAACAAACAGCTAATTCAACTGGAGTTTAAAATATTATTTTGAGTTCATTTGTCATATAGTCTTTTGCATAACATGCCAGTTTGTCTTTCACAAAACACAATTCACCTACCAAGGCTCACAGGGCTGGTCAGAGGATGTACATCAGCCTATACACGTATTTCCTAGTGGCCTATAGGATTGTGAAAAACATAAAGCAGGTCAAGGAACAAAAGTGCTCATTTTTCGAGGATGCTAAATAACATGGCATTGGGAACATACTTAATCCCAGCAACGTGTGCTTCTTTATTGAATGTTACAGATCGGTCAGTGATTATAAAGCTGTCCTGTAACAGTCATTAATACAACCACATGCTACAACTATGCTGGATTAAACATGGTTACATATATGTGTGCATGTGTTTTATAATACAGCATTGCTCGACACGCTGGATGGTACAGCCTATAGATATAGCATGATGGATGACTGGATCATATTGATTACCATTACAGAAGTTAAACAGCCCAAACATTCAGAAGATTAGACTGTAGAGCCTCAGGAAGTGGAATAAATGGACTATCCAGTTATCTACCATAATATTATCTACAGAAACCATCTTTTAGAGTACATTTAAAACATTCAGAAGAAACACACTTTGTGTTTTTAGAAGTACAGTTTTCCCACTGGATTATTCATATATATATATATATATTTTTTTTTTTTTTTTTAAAGGAGAACTTTCAAAGTGCTAAATAGATATCCTAGACCTGGAAGCTTAGACTTAAAAAGAAATCCAGTTCTGTAAAGTGCTGCATTCTGCCTGCTAACACACCTTCTGGCTTGGAGAAATACGTAACCTAGCCATGGCAATTGAGCCCAAGTTTTCCAGCTTCTCATTCAAATCCATCAAGGAGGAGGTTTCTAACTATAAGCATGGGGGTCAGTCAGGGAATTTCCATGGCTATTTTCATAAAACACTTAATTTTTTTCCAAAGGAACAAGCAATTTAGAATGAATCATTACATACAGGAGTATATAAAATTGGCACCTCAAAGGCAGATGATAAAACCGAAGCTATTACTTCCGTGGGCTCTCTATGACTTTATTTATGTTCCTCAGTAATGTGCTGCTTATGAGCTGCTTAATTCACAGAGACAGGTAACTAACGTCCTCTTGATCGGGGACATGATGGAATAAATGAGCTGAGCACAAGCTGACTGTACAAGGCCACAGAATCAATGCCACATCGGTGTGCAGAGAACCCAGAAATGGGAAGAGATGGTTTGAAACAGGACACACATGTAGGTGCACAGCGAAGACATGGCTCATGAGAATCGCACAGTTGGAGTTTAAAGACTGAAATTTGGCTTGTATATTTTGCACACTTCACAAAAGATATAAGAACTTCATTTTCTTGCATAACGAAAGAACCCGGCAGTCACAAGGTGAGGACCGTTAAGTACTGTGTCTCCCAGGCCCTCTGTTCTCTCCAGAAATCACGGTGAAGGGAAACACTCGTGCACATAATTTCTTACCCTCACTTTCAATCTGGCCCAGAATGGGGCTCTGGAGGTACAGTGATGTCCTGCTCTGTGGTCAAAGATGAATGGTTTCACCTCTTTCTTGGATTCCTCTACAGACTCTCTCAGAGAGCCTTCTGGCTTTTTAAAGTGTGCTCCATACTTAAAGTCATTAAACATTAGGACACAAGTACATCACACTAGCAAAATAGAATCTAAGGGACCAAAAGAACAAAATCTTGGTTCAAACTCTGGTGCTGGGACTTAGCCTTCCTGAGAATCACAGAGAAATGGTCTCAAATGTAAAGTGCCTATTACAACTACTGATTATAAGCAACCGTGATTCCTCTTCCTCATTATCAATCCAGGATAGATCCAGGGGTCCGTGGGCCCTTGCAGGTTATGCTGCAACTTCGCATATATGTACATTCATCTCTGGGGAGGGGGCCCAAAGATGTCACCAGCTTCTCACTGAGATTCATGGCTCAAGGACATTTAAGGGCAACTGCTTTATTCTCAGGCCATATCTATATTTGCTGAAAGGGAAACAGCCACTGTGAGGCTCAGTAAAAATGTAAGCATTTCTAGAGCAATTGCATATGAGGGAGGCTGGTTGCTTGTTTTGGATTCACCCACATACCAAAGCGTGAAAAGGAATTATTTAATTCTTTGTATGTGGCCTCATATCCATTTCCAGATCCAAAAGACTGGTTCGGAGGGGGTTTTAAAAAAAATTTGAAGGCTAGAGGTTTTTTCTCCATGTATTTACTTGATTTCACATGATGAGAAAATCTGGAGCTCAGAGCAACGAAACAGGAGAACCACATAATATTTTGGGGGCCCAAAAACATTAGGTCATCTTCCTCAAAGATTTTATTCTTTTTAAACATCAGTGATGCAAGTGGGAATCTGAAGATTTGAGGGTCAGTATTTATTTATCTCCCTTCAAATCCAGACTCTGATCTAGCAGTAGCCTGTATTGAAGAGTCTGTATGTAATACTACCCGGTGTGGAACTGCATGTCTAATTCAGATTGTACTTGGTGTAATCACTTTGGGCAGAAGAAACTAGACTCAGTAAGATGTCGTCACAGCATGTGCTTCCGGATAGAAAGGCAGAGGGCGGGTGGCCAGTCATTTTGGCAACTCTAGTTTGGTACAAGGAAGAGCTAAGGTCATAGGGATTTAAAAAGTCATAATTTCAACACCTATCAAAATCCAACATAATATAATGAACTCTTTCAATGGAACTCCTTGGCTAAGGAAAAATCCCGGTTATACCTCAAGGTATTAGAAAAGGTCCAAGCTTCTTAAGAAAGCTCTATATGCCTGTTTATATACTATATATAAACATGTTTGTGTAAATGCATATATATGTATATAAGCAGCATATACCATGGAAATCTTTGTGTGGTTTATTTGCTTTCTATTTTTGTCTATTGTATCATTTTTATAGCTCTGGATAGAAGAAAAATCTTCATGGTATGCATGGGATGATACCAAATTCCCAGTCAATTCTATGGTTATTTATGATTTGAAACTTCCTTAAGTACTCTGGAACATTTTCCATAAAAAAAAAAAAAAAAAAAGATGCCAGCCCTTGAAAGACTCCAATTACATTTATGCTGAGCTCAGATTAAATGGCAAAACTCTATGTATGAAAATATCCACATGTGATCAGATCTTCATGTACAAAATGGTCATGTGATGAGTGGTGTGAAGAATTTCCAGGTACATCTTGGAGATGTTCTGAAGACATGGTAGAGTCATGCAAACGATGACAGCCACACAGTGGCATGGCACATGACACTAATGGCGAGAATACAACAGGATGCCATATGGCAATTTTAGGTGAGTTCTGCCCACTATTGGTTTTTCCCTTTTCGTTCACTATCACGTACTCAGTGAGTGACTTCATTGATGACAGGTGAGGTACAAAATAAATGAAAAAATAGAAAATTATTTAATTACATTCATCCTGAGCTTGCTCGACTATACTCGAATGCCCACTGTATATAATAAACCACTTGACATTTGTTTTTAGCCTTACTTCTTCTTTCACTTTGATTGCAATACAAAAAGGCATTTCTTTTCCCTTTATTTTCTTCAGAAAAGATAAACAGTCGTGGCACCAGAAGTGAATATATAAGAGACAGGCGAACTCGGACTGTTACCTTGTTTTTTCTTTATAATGATCAATTACAGAAGTGTTGGCATGAGGAGGTGGGACGTTAGGTAGAACTGCTTGCTGCCGGCTTATACTGAATAAAAAGGATGCTCTTCATCAGTCACCAGTGATGGAGCCAATGTGAAAAGAAAACAGAATTGAAGTTTAGAATATCTCATTTGTATGCTGGCTACTTTATTTTTATCTTAGTTTGCAATTTAGCCCTGTATCCTACAACTCTTGATCATGGTCAGAATTGGAAAGATGCCTCCTGGCATGGAGAATGCTTGAAGCCCCTTCATTCCCAGAGCTCACGGCTTTCAGAAGTGACTAGTGATATACATTCATCTCAACCCTTCTTCTCCCTCTTTCCCCTCCCTGCCTGTCAAGCGTGAACACGACTTAAAGCCCCTGTGTTTGGTGCCCGGCTGGACTAAACGCCTTCCTCAATCTGTGGCCCAGAAGTCACCTTTGAGTTAACGCCTCCTGAAGCATTGCTTGTTTTGCTCAGCTAAGAATAAAGCAGGTGTGTTTCAAGGAAGGGGAACAGGTGGAGTTCGAGGAGAATTTTAGGGCTGGATTCTTGAGCCTCCTGCAGTGCTTATTAGGAAGGTTTAGTTGTGCTTGCCTTCAAAGCTGAGGAAGGCGGATGTTCTGGACAGTCTCCTCATGGACAGGCTGTCGCCTCGTCCCTCCGGCTTGGAGGACTTACTCCTCTGGAAGGGGTTTCGCAGGCTTGCTGTGTTCCGTTGCCTGTCCAGTTTGTCACTGATGGAGAAGCTCTTCCTGGTGTGTGCATATGGCGCGCTTGGCTCCTCTGCCGAGTAGCTGTTGGCGCGCTCTATCTTGGGAACTGTGATGTTATTGGACAGGGTTCTATCTGCGTTCTCACCCTCCTGGGAAGGTATCGCAATGGTGGCTCTCCGGCCTCTGGCCTCGTTCTCCTCACTGTCAGAGCTGGGGTGGCTCAGTTCTGCTTCTCGCTCAGGATGGCAGCAGGATGAATCCTCCACTTTGCCCCCAAGACCGCCAGGGAAGGTGGCCCTGTCAGCAATCGCTTGAGGGGCATTGACACATCTTGTGTCAATACAGTCTGTAATACTTGTGTATTCTGCTGTTTTCATGGGTACCCCAAAGTTGGCGTAATAGCCCCGCGAAGGAGAAAACATAAAGCTATGAGATTTCACGATGGGGGCCTCTTCTAGAAGAAAGGGTGTCGTGGCTAGGTAGCGGCTACTTTTGGAACGCTCGATGCTCTGGTACATTGGAGGGTCAGTGTCCCAGGGGTTTTGGCATTCTGGGAGGTGAGTATAGTCTGAAGAAAAAGATCTAGTGTCCATGGAGGTGATGTCCTCAAAATCAATGCTCCGGCTCGGAGGTCTGTCTGTGGGTGCAAGGGTTGCATAGGCACTGGTTGAAGGAGCCGTGGAAGGTGCCGTTGCCGAAAAGCTTGGCTCACCTAGCCCGAGGATGTTCATGGAATTGTCCAGAGGGTCTATATCACAGTGGAGTTCATCCATGGCAGAAACATAGATGTCTATACATGAGGAAGGTCTTCTGGAGTCAGGAACAATGGCCAAGGTGTTCGCAGGGGCTGCAGGAGCTTTGGGTTCTTTTGCTACAGAGTGGGAACTAGTAGCCCGGTGGAGGCTCAGGGACCTTTCTTTAAAAAGACTTTCCAACTTTTCTATACCACCTTTGTCTTTCATATTGACTGAATAGAAAGAATGGCTTCGCATACGGGGCATTAGGGTTGGAGAAGTTGGGGACATGGTCTCCTCACCTGCAGGGTCTATACTCTCTTGGAGCTTGAAGGTGTTTCCCTCCTGGCTGTTGAAGCTGCTTTGGCGCACGATGTAGGCAGCATCCGTACAGTCCGATGAGGTCCGGGAGCGGATTTTGTTGGACTCGGTCCGCTCCAGACCTGTCAGGCGCTCCAGGGCCGTGGCCATGCGCCCAATGAGGTCCTCGAGCTGCGCCAGGCGGATGTCCACGGTCTGGAGCGAGGCTTTCATGCAGTGCTCTCTCTCGTTGACTTCCTCCAGCCGCATGGACATGTTCTCCACCCTGGGCAAGAGACAGAACGAGGGTCACTCAAGGCCGGGTTCCTCTCTGGAGAATCTAAATCTTTTTGAGCTGGACGAGGCTTTTAGAGATGATCTAATCTAGTGGTATTTATCTACCAAACTCCTTTTCCCCTCAGTAAAATTTAATGCATGATTCCAATAAATAAACACCAAAATGGAGTAGTTCTTATTGGAGTAGAATGGGGCCAAAGCACCTCATGACTTGGCTGTGACTTGGGGCAGGGTTTAATGACCTAAGTAAGCCTTAGGGTGTTGGCCTAGTCAGTCGGCACTGAAATGAGAATGGTGCATCTTGATGACTTTGCTCAGAACCATGCAGTAGGATTTGAGAATGAAGATATTCTCCTTGCAGTGCCTAAGACTTGTAGTAGGACTGGGATTATTTTTATTTTGCACTAAAAAATTGTTACTGTTTGCTTATTTTTGAGAAGAGGGGAGGGGCAGAGAGACAGAGGGAGACACAGAATCCAAAGAAGTCTCCAGGCTCCGAGCTGTCAGCACGGAGCCGGACACGGAGCTCCAACCCACAAACTGTGAGATCGTGACCTGAGCTGAAGTCGGATGCTTAACTGACTGAACCACCCAGGCGCTCCTTATTTTGCATTTATGTGATGATCTTTTGTTGTTGTTGCTGTTCACAATCATCTTTTCAAAACTTAGTGCCTCTGAAGGAAGTGGTACGGTCCTGTCACTGAGGCACCTGGAGTTGATCTAACCCAATCCTTTCTTTAATAAAGGAAAAGCAAACATCAAGAAATTTAACCAAGATTACGTAAGGTAATTTGTGGTAAACCTGGAGCATCTATCAATAAGTAACTATTCTACTCCTCTCTCTTTCTCTCCATGTCTCTCTGGATAGCTGATCACAGATGCCTTATATTACAGTTATTTCTAGATGTCGTGACCTTACCCCACTGGAAATTCCTAAGGGCGTGATCTGTCTCATATTTCTTTTTCCATTCCTGTGCTGCCTGGTGTCAATAAAGGTTCATTGAGTCAATCACGGCTATGAACTTGATTTCATTTGTTTACTAGGCTGCCTGGACACCTATTTACAAAGACAGAGGCCACGTATTTAAAATAAAATTGTGCCATATTTTTCTGGGATTGACTGGGGAAGGGCAAACCAGAATCAAGCTTTGGTTTGAGCTCCAACTTTCACTTGTAAAAAATGCCCAAAGGCAAAACTTTTGGAGACTCTAAATGAGATCCATTCACAACTTTTCTGGAGAGGATAAGGATACTTTCCCCAAACTCCCAATGTGCACAGTAAACCACGTGATTGCTGACCCTTAAAGAAACATGCCTGCATGTAGAGGATGTGCTTTACAGACAATGGTGGCCATGGGAGCTGGGTCCCCCGAGCTGTTGTGATGGTGGTGATGGGGGGTGGGGGTGGTAGCGGTGGTGGTATATTAATAGCGGCGACACTTCAATCAGAGAAGAATACATTTCAGTGCCATGAGGTTTAAGAGGCATGTGGCTTCCCTTTCTGAGCATCTGTAGGCTTTAAGAACCAACCAACCAACCAACCCAAGTGGGGGTGTGTGTGACTCTCCTGCCTTAGGTTACATCTGTGCCTCTTTCAGCCACAGCCCATCCCACCCCAACTCACCTCACCCATTCTGCTCTTTTATCTTTCAGGTTGCCTTCACCCAGCCCAAGGTTCTGGACTGCCCTCTTGAGCCCTGCTTTGGAGACATCCTCCTGATGTTCCATGACCAACCCAGCACTTCCCAGGGTCTGGAACATTCTGCCACCCTGCCCAGGTGTATGCCTTCAAAGACCCGAAAATTGAAAATTTGAGCAGTTGCGTATCTGGCAAACTCAATGCTCATCACCCAGTTGACATAGCTGATTCAGAAGGAAAATACCACTGTACCCTGTTTCACTTCATTTTGTGATATAAACACAGCTTGAGAAACAAATTACTTACAATAACAAGCCTGTGTGTCTTATCTACTTACAATTTACTTTGTCACCATCTAGCCTAGGCAGCTTGGTCGTGCAAGTACTGCGATTTCCTGTTCTGCAATGCAATAAGCTTTGAGTGAGTGGATAAAATACTTCCTCATTAAATTCGAGAGCAGGAGAGATGCATTTTTGTAGAACGGGACTTTCCATTTTGGATACTCCAAGTATGGAGTGCTTTAGTGTTGGCAGAGTAACAAAAGACAGGATAGTTTTCCTCTTCCTCTTTCTTTTCCTGGAGACTGGTGTATGCAGCGTTGGTATGGAAAGAGATAAAGATGCTCTTTTAGCCTGACTGCCTGAGATCACTGGTCTGAGCACTGTGAAGTATCTCCCTGCACTGTGGGAAGCTCTCTTCCTGCATCTCACCTCTCTTCAGCCCAAAGATTCAACCCTGCAGAAAGAGAAGTGGCAGATGAGAGGCAGAACTAAGGTACCATTAGGCAATGGAGGAGTCAGGAACTGCCTGTGGACAGTAAACAGGACACAGAAACTAAGGAGCGCAAGGGGATCAGGGAGAAGAGAGAGGAAGAAGGCAAGCAGAGAGGTGCCTGGGGGGAATCTAAAGAGCCGAGAAAAAGAAGCATGGCCCCAGGAATGGGATGGTTGGAGGTAGTGAGGAAGACGGCTAGAACACGGGCAAGGAGCTATTCTTCACCAAAGCTCTCCTTGGTGGGCTCTCCTGTGGGCTCTGAGGTGTTCTGAAATGTAATACTTGGTGGAGTGGGGGTGGGGAATAGACGGTTTCATCCATTTTCTTCCAGATTTCTGTATGTGTTTAACCACCTAACTGTATGATCATTTAAGTCATGAACATAACGGTAGGGGTAGACTGTAGGAGTTATCAGAGAATAAAAGATCCTAGAGTCAAACTCCTATATGTTTGTTCCATAAACAGAGTGCCTCCCCTAATCTTAAAAAGAAATTCTTGAGAAGTGATTGTAAATGAGTGTGCATCACAGATACAAGTACATGTGAGGATCAAGCCGCAAGTTTTGGGTCATGACTGTAAGTCACTAGTTGCTGACTCTGGCCAAACCACTCAGGAGAGAAAATGTAGGTAACGATGGGAAGAATTTACGGATCTAAAGGAACGCTCAAGGGGATAGATACCGGGAGTGATGAAACAAGAGAAAAAAGGAGGGAAAGGTAGGTGCTGTGTGGGCACCTTCATTCTTCTTTCCCTTTTTTGCATCTCGGCCTCATGTGGCTTCTTCAGAGTAACTGGGGGAGGGGGGCAAGCACATTAGTGAAACAGCGTGGTCCTGGGGGAAGATGTGAGATGGCTCCTGCCTCTGGATGCCCAAGAAAGTGACAGCCAGGATCCCACCAGAGGAAATTCCTGACTCAGTAGGTTGGGAAAAAAAAAAACACAAAACGTCAGCTGAGAGGTCAACTAGCCAGTATGACAAAGAAAAGAAAGGACGTTCCAAAGAAGATCCTAATGGCACAGAAAATTTCAGCCTCAAGACGCAATTTCTTAAGAATTGTTATTTTCTACAAATTCATTTTCTTTTCTGGTAACCTCAAAATGTGGCTAAAGGAAAAGTAGGAAAAGAAAAAAAGAGGGTTGGCAGGCCATGCCTGTTTTAAATCTCAAATATTCACTGGAGAGCTAGCAGCAGGATGGCTATAGGGTGAAGGGCCAAACCAACCCCATTATCACATGAGCCAATCACAGGGCCTCTTGCGTGGGGGGAGGGTGCACTTGTACAGGGTTTCTAATGAAAGCCAATGATACAGAAGAGATAAAGTGGACTCTTGATTATCCACAGACATCTAATTTGTGACTTATTTAAGTCTTTTAGAGTCAATTCCCCTTCCCTTTGGGCCAATTATCCTTCTCATCCTCCTGGGGAAGAAAAAAAGGAGAGAAACTAAAATCTGGCTCAATCAGTGGAGATATCAATAAGATCAGCATTGGAAAAAGATATGGGTGGGAAGTGAGTAAGGCTCATCTTTTTTAGCTTATCCTGTGTTTTGATTATTCACAAGTCTCCTATATCCTAAGTTATTCTTGTCTTCCTTGTCATGAAAATCAGAAGTTGAATACACTATTCATAGTCACATGACTATTCCTGGTTTTGGATCTAGGTGAAGTGACAAAAAGGCACAAAGCCCTTTGGCTAGGGAAAGATAAGGTTAGATAACACCAGCAACTGATGTATATCTGAGTTTGCTTAAATTGTTACTGGTGAGGAGAAAATTCAAATGCAACTTCTTCTGACAAGTGGAACTGGGTGGGGGGGAGGGGGGTCATCGGGAGGATGATCTGGAAGCTGGAAGTCAGGGGTCGGAGAACTCAATGCCTGTGGTATTGTATGAGGACAGATGCAGGGGCTCTGTGGCAGCAGAGAGCACGCCCAGTCGAGGCATTCAGCACGGAATTTAACAATCACTGTGAGCCCCTCCCAACCGCCCTTTGTGGGCAGATGTTGCGCATGAGCCAGCAGTTTGCAAGCCCTGCTTTAAATGAGGGAAAGGAACCAGAATAAAACTTCGAGCTGTGCTCACCAGAAAATGTAGGTAACTCTTAAGAAACAATGGGAAATTAGGAAACCAACTCTTAAGAAACCAATGGAGATAGGAAAACGTTTTTTTTCTGATATTAAAAGTTCCTGAGTTCTAGGAATTATGAGAGCTCGACATAAATTCTAGGCAGCATTATGGAACAGCTCAGGAGGCTGTAATTAAGCAGATGTTTTGAGTTCTTTAAAAAGACTGGGTTCATTTAAAGGAGACTTTATGGGGTCAATATTAATCTTGTCTTGATAATCTAGACCAATACGTAACACAGATGCATAATGTTTGTGATGGGGTATGTTGTGATTTTAGCAGGGAGGTTGACACACTGCGCTGACTGGAGAAATGTGGATAGCTGGCTGGTTATTAACCAAATGAAAGATGGGTCAATATTGTCGTGAAACATGGTATTTTTGGAGTCATGCAATGTCTTGGTTCTTTCTTGATTCATCTGATCTATGCTGGCCGGCATCTGATGAATTCTATTGAAGGCATCGCAAGTACACTTATCAAGCCAACAATGAGATAAAATGAATAGGATAATATATATATTTTGTATATATATATGTCTATGTGCATATATGTCTGTGTATATAGGTTATATATATCATATATATGGAAAAAACAAGGGTTGTTTTCAGGAATCAGTTCCTATGAGGTGTTAATTTTCAGAATCAGTTCCCATACAGGTGCTAATGATCTCCTGAATATTGTATTGTGCTCTTTAGATTCCATTTGGGTACAAAAACATGACTTAAGAATGATGCATTTAGGGGTGCCTGGGTGGCTCAGTTGGTTGAGCGTCCGACTTCGGGCTCACGTCATGATCTCACGGTTCGTGGGTTCGAGCCCCGTGTCGGGCTCTGTGCTGACAGCTTAGAGCCTGGAGCCTGTTTCAGATTCTGTGTCCCTCTCTCGCTCTGCTCCTTCCCTGCTCATTCTCTGTCTCTCTCTCTCAAGGATAAACATTTAAAAATTAAAAAAAAAAAAAAAAGAATGATGCATTTAAATTGACAATTGTGGAAGCATCTTTGCATTTCTAAATCTTCTAAAAAGATTCATGCAAGTAGGACTTGTATAAATAAGTTATAGTTTATAGGCAGTGGCTGGGGGAGGAGTATGGGGCTCACTACATGAAGAAAGCTTTTCCTCAAGCCTTTGAGCACAGCAGAGCCAACTCTGAATTTTTCTGATTTCAAATCTCTGTACTGGGGCTGTCGAACATAACAGGAAAATTGTATAATATCCTACATAGTATATAGAATGGATGTAGTTAATTGATGGAAGTGAAACATCTGTACCTATCCGCATGTGTGTGTATATTATCTATCAACTATTATCTCTTATCTGTCTGTCTATCTGTTGAATGTAAATAGGACAGGAGATTTCACCTGCCACTCCACTCAGAAAGGATACGTCCTAGGGAATGTGTGAGACGGGTAATAGGGCTCCTCTATTTCTTTGGTTGATATCTGTTCTCTCAAGCACTTTGTAGTGTTTCTGTTGTGCTGAATGCAATTCTAGTGTTAAAGATTTATTCTCTGGGACGCTTACAAATGCAAAATAAACCAATACCACCACCACCACCACCACCACCACCACCACCACAAACCAAATCCCAAACACACACAGGCAGAAGCGACAGAAACAGAAAGAGGCCCGGGCTTAGATTCACTTCTCTGGCACTGGGCTTCGTCCTGAGATTGCCCAGGTCCTCCAGGACCCCATCACTCCAGAAGGCTAGCTAATGCCTAAGACACGGGGAAGGGGAGCCTATAGTCTGTCCTGGATTTCTGGGAACTGCTCTCCTCCGTCATGGTCTTTGAGGGTGGGGCTTTGAAGCCACCTAGAGAGGAATAGGACTTGGGGAAGGAGTCTCCCGGAAGTGTTTACAGCTGTAGGGAGGGAGGCGCAGGTGGAGGTGCTAGATAGTTCCTTCCTATTTTCACTGAAAGGAATTGCTGACCTGGTTCACAACATGTTCACATGTGCTGGTGTCTCATTCCAGTTCCCCAGAGAGGCAAAGGCTTCCTTGCATCTTGTCACTCCCACCTCTACCTTTCTGTGCCTCAGGTCTGGGGCTTTTTGAGTTCAAAAAGCATTTCAAAATCTCCTGTACATATGCTTTGGGAATATGTTTGAGTAACAGGCAATGCGTCCACCTGGTACAGTTTTCTGGAAACCACATGGCTATATGTCCATTAATACACAGTGTTTTCAAGGCCTTTGAATGAGAGAGATTTTCAGTTTTGCAGGTTCTTCCTCTGTTTGCTGGAATATTGCTTCACATCATATCATCATAAAATGCTCTATTTTGCAATGACAGATGTGCACAAAATTTGCGCATGGCTTTAAGCTTTGTCAATGTTGGCTGAGTACCCATGGATACAATCACTCACTGGCATGTGTGTATATCCGCACTTTATGTACACTGCATTCTTTAAAGACATGAAGAGCCAGGGACAGAAAAATGCCACTTATGTAATTTCTACAGTGTACAAAGTGGGTAAGCAGACAAAATGTCATTTCTTGAAAACTTGAGGTCACTGACTCATATCTTAGAAGTTTGAATCATATCAACTAAAATCATCATTATGCCTTTTCCCACTATTTATAATAGTTCCGTCTTCATATCTCAAATGCTTACAATTTAAAGTTACACCAATACCTTGTAACAGTCTGCATGTTCTTTATAAAAGTGGGTCCCAGATGCTGCTTTTTAAGTTTATTTATTTTTTGGGGGGGCGGGGAGTATATAAATGAATGAATGAGTGGGGCAGGGGCAGAGAGAGGAGACAGGGAATCCCAAATAGACTCCACACTGTCAGCATGGAGCTCGAAGTGGGGCTGAATCTCACAAACCGTGAGAACATGACCTGAGCTGAAATCAGGAGTCAGACATTTAACTGATTGAACCACCCAGGTGCCTCCTCCCCCAAATGCTGGGTTTTGAACATGCCATCCCAGAATGAAGTTTGTATTAGGCCGCAGCAAAATGAGAAAAATAAGGAAATATAGATTTATTTTCATAAAGCTAGACTTATTAATTTTCAAGGACTCTCTTCTTTGTATTTTGGGATTTTTTTTACCCCTTATCATCTTACTGGTCCACAAAACTATTTGGCCAGTGAGATCTAAAAGCATATCACCCCTGGGTAGAAGAATCTGCTTTCATTCCTTCACTTTTATCTTGTTCTATAAAAAGAATAAAACAAAAATAATTCTGAAGAAAACGCCCTCATCCATTATTCTAACTAATTCACAAGTCTCTCACTGCTGTTGATTCAGAAGGTGCTGAGTACCCATATGCGCCAGATACCGGGACTGCTCTACTTCTCCCCAAAAGATTTCCAGTGATCTACAGGAAACATCTACCTGCTGGAAACCCCCAAGTCAGGCTGGGTCTCCCCTGGTTTGCGTCTGGGCTGGAATGTTCCACATTCTGGTCTGAGCCAGCGAGCATTGCCCTCTCCTGGCCTCAGCAATCTAGTGTCCAGGAGGGTGGGCGCCCTGCTGCTGGGGACGTCTAGGAAGGATCTCTAAGTCTGGAATGTTGGTCTGTAGATGCTTCCAATAACGTTCCATCTCCCGTGAGCTCGATGACTTCTTGGACAGTACACATACACACAAAGGGGTCTGTTTTGGGGGGCTGGGCACACAAACACAATGGACAAGGCACGACATGACGCAAAGCATCCCCGAGAGGCATCTGCTACGGCACGGACCTTTCTGAAGTCACGCGTATCCTCTCATCATTGGACGAGTTGAACCGATCATCCTTTTCTCTGAAATATTCCTCTATGCACTGCTCTTCGAAGTCATGTACTTTCTTGAGCTCATCATCAGTTATGAACAGTTCTGTGGGGAAAAGTGACAAGAGCAAGGATCAGCAACGGTGGCTGATCTGTGGGCCTAATGACTACGCTTCGTTTCATCAAGGTTAAGGAAAGGGGCCTAGATTCATCACTAAGTCTCAGGCTAACTCCAAATCCAATTGGGCAACTCATGTCATTGTCCTCTCTTCTGTGCATTAGATTCACGACGGAGCCCCGAAGTTCACCTGGGTATATGTGGTTTACTGCAGGGGCTGGTTAGAATTACACCCATTGGGAGGCTGAGAGCATAGCTAAATCAAAGAAAAAGGAACCGTGCAGAGAATGGAGGTTACTTAAAGTTCAGTTACTGGTCTGAGGAGTGTGGCAGACAATGGTCACTGGTCTTACTATAAGCGCACGGCAACCCCATTCCTCCTTCCATCTGCTCACAACTGAGGCTGGAAAGCCAAATCCACGCATTTCTCTGCTGCAGGGAGGGGTGATGGACTGGAAAGAGGTTCTGCTTTCCTGATAAGCTTTTCAGATGTAGCTGCTTCTTTCTACATGTTCTCACCTCCCCTCTTCTTCCTGCCTTGAACATGAATGTGATGGCTGGAAGTACAGCAGCTATTTGGCAACCATGAGATAAGACAGTGCAATAAGGAGTAGCTGAACCTAAAAAAAAAGACTTGGGGGCTTTGACTTCAGGGAGGTATGGCTGAGCTCTGGGCTGTTACCTCTTCACTCCGTGTTATGTGAGAAAAATAAAGCTTTATTGATTTGTGTTATTGTTAGTCTGGCTCTCTGTAAATATCGGGTAGGCTGATTCATAACAGATACAGCCTCAGAAAGAGCCCAGTGGAAATTTGAACCCTTTTCCCCTCTAAGCTTTCTATGTGCCTAAATTTGTGTTTCTGGTGGAAATAGTGAATTCTGGAATTCTCACTTCCCTTCAACTCTCTAATTTTAATGTCTAGAAAGGAGTTGGGCATTGCTTTGTTGGAGAAGTTGTTAAGAGCTCCAGACTTAGAGACAGTCAGTTGATGAAGTGGCTTTAAACTTTAGAGCACTAACTAGTGTCACCGAGAGGTAATTCCTGGGCCACAATCCTCGACGCTCTGGTTCAGTAGATTTACTATAGGAGTCTATTTGACATACACTTTGAGAAACCACAGAAACTTGCTTGTATGGGGCTGGATTCCCAATGGTAATTAACTCTGGGTGGTCCTAAGGGGGCATTTAGGAAATCTGCAGGAACTGTTATATTCAATGTATGGAGGCCGGAAGTGCTAAATCTTCTGCCACGTGTGGGACACTCCCATACGTTGAGGAATTATTCCACCCCAATGCCAATAGAACCTCCTTCTAGAAACACTGGGTAGAAGGTGGATGGTGAGGGGTTTTCTGTTTTTCCTTTGACTAAAAGAAAGCAGGGCAAACAGCCATAACCCTAAGGCTTGGGGAATGTCTAAGTCCTGAAAACAAAATGATGGGTCCAGAAATGATAATGAAAAAAATCAGACTTAGTCACCTGCAACCCAACTAAGCCCATGTCATGATCCTTACATTATACATAATGTAGCACTGGAAGCATATGGCTATGGAGCATATATTTTGGGATGGGACCTCGGGACAGGAAGACGCTTACAGTCTGTGGAGGCGCTAGAAGAACCCTGCCAGAGACTGGTTTTATTCACTAAGAAAGACGGGAAGCTACGAACGCTCCATTTCAGCCTCTGGTGTCCCCACACAGCACTCTTTCCCATAGAAATGGACCCTCCCATGCCTCCCCAAGGGTTCCGAGCTGCCCACAGTCTGCTGGATGCAGGAGGAACCGGAGGGCACGTGGTCCTAGGTGACCGCCTGCACGGTGTAGGAGGAGGTCCCGCCCAGGGCTGTCCCCCGAAGCTTACTCAAGCCATAGTCCCTCTCATCCGGGTCGCTCTCGTGTTTTCTCCATCGGCAGCACACATGCTGGAATATCATGGTCATGTGGCTAAAGATGATCAGAGGTGGGGGCAGAACCGGCCTCTCATGGAAAGTCATGATGAGCTGATACCTCTGAAACTTCCACACTTGGTTGGATATCGATTTTACCTCAAAAAATGTATTGCTGAAATAGAGATGGGAGAGAATTAAGCGAGAAACCCTACTCCCTCAGCCCCCCCCCCCGCCCCCCACCATGTCCTCTGGGGAAGGACTCACTCACTTAAAGACAGCGATGAGCAGGTTGACCAGCAGGATGTTGGCCACTAACAGGTAGCAGGCCATGATGGCCGGAACGATCCAGGCGCCTGTCTTGCAGGGGGGCAGCTGGATGATTTTGCCATCCTCCCGGGTCTCATTCTGTCCGCAGGGAGCTGAAGAAAGCAGCACAGGCAAGAAATGAGAAACCATGCCTCCGTGATTAAAAAAAAAAAAAGAAAAAAAGACTGATTTGAATGAGAGAGGTGGGGTTGTTTTTTTTTTTTTTTTTTTTTTTAGATGGAGGAAAAATACAGCCATCTCAAAACAAACAGAAAAAAAATAAAAGAACTCTAAAAAGCCAAAAGAGAAAAATGAAAGCGCGGTGAACAGCTCACGGGTACCAGAAGGGGGCTGCTTCTGCCTTCCCTGGAGTTGTCATGGGGACGTGAATGAGGTGTGGACCCCTGCTTGTCCACCGTGTCCCTTGCCCCCGACATGTAGTGACAGGCACTTGCTGTCGTGAGGAAGCCCGGTGAGGGCTTTTCTGGGAACTGCCCCGGGGGTGCAGAGTCTCACTGTCCCTTCAAGTTACTTCCAAAATGTGCTGTGCAGGCCACCACCTACAGCCGTAAGAACACGCACAGAGGGGCTACTGACTGGAAATTGACACAAGGGCGGCAGTTAATCGCTGCAGGAAACAACCCCGGGCCCTGAGTTAATGATCTGCAGTCTCCGTGTGGTAGAAGTAAAACAGGGCAGAGCCTTGGCAAGTATTTCCCGGGCTGGCCACTCGGCTCCTGACCGACGGTATTCCCTGGGGCGGGGGTGGGGGGCTGATGAGAGGGGCGGGCCCGGACTCTGGAGCCCTTAGCTCCCTGCTTTCCTCCAGGAGCATTTCCTTTCCAAAAATGTGTTTTTCAGGGCAAAGGGCACAGAACCCAACTGCACTGAACAAATGGGCAAATGGGGAAAGAAAAGTTCTGGAGGTGGGAGTGGCGGGAAAGGTGATGTGTGGGACTGGATGAGCATGAGTAATGTGCTAACGAAGACTGCCTGGAGTTTCCAGGTAAATTCAGGGGGAAAGCAAAACCTTGACATAGCTCCTTAGTGCTGCACTGACAACATGGCCTGGGAGTGAGATCACGCCCTTAGGTGCCAAGGGGTAGGGGAGGTCCCCCTCCCTCTCCAGCTGCCTTATGCTGGTTTCACAATAGGGTGTATCTGGGGGTGTCTGGGTGGCTCAGTTGGTTAAGCATAGGACTCTTGATTTCAATTCCGGTCATGATCTCACGGTTCATGAGATCAAGCCTTGCATGGGGCTCTTAGCTGACAGCAGGGAGCCTGCTTGGGATTCTCTCTTTCTCTCTCTCTGCCCCTGTGCACATGCGCTCTTTCTCTCAGTCTCCATAGCCATAGGCAGCTTCTGAAGATCTGCCAGGAAGGTTTGCAAAGTAGACCCAGAACCTCGCCTGGAGTATCTGGCAAGGGGAGTCCATTCCCTTCGTCAGAGCTACCGTTACTACGCTGTGTGCTCCCCTGTGGTTCTCAACCCTGGCTGCATAGAGGAGCTTTAAAATACGCCAGTGCCCTGCTCCACCTCAGACACTGGACTCCGAATCTCCAAAGGGGGTTTCCAGGTATTAACATTTCTTACAAAGCTTCCCAGGTAATTCTACAGTGCCACCAAAGTGAGTCCACTGACCTAGAATTAGGCTGGAAAGATGACATGATTTTTGATATGCTGTCAAGTCCAAAATGCATGCTCTTAGCCTAAAAGAGTTTTAATGACATCAAGACACCAAGACCCTGTTTTTAGGGCTGGAAATGATGGCCAAAGTGCTTCCTTCAGATCTGCCTGCCAGGTGATGGAGTGTGGGAGTCAGGTGTGTCCAGATAGTCGGCATCACTTTTATTATTGGCAGTGGGGGCACTAACCACACAAGAGAGCCCTGTGGAGGATCCTGTTCATTTACTCCCTTGGGAGGAGACCCCAGTGATGGAGGCCCCCACTGGCTCTAGGATGAAATCCAAATTCTGAGAGTGGCTGGCCCAGGGCCATCTCTTGCCACTTCCTGCCCTTCCCTCACAGCACAAACTGGCATGAGCCTCTTGCAGTTCCTAAAAATGCCATGCTCTCTCTTGGTTCCTGTCAGCCATGCTTCGTTTGCTTCCAGAAGGCCCCTCTGAAACCTCCCTCTCTCCCATGCTCCACCTGGGTGAATCCTGGTTGTTTTTCAATGTTCACTTAGCCTTCTGGAGCCCACCCAGCTCACTTTCTGCCCCTTTCCAGCCAGGACTGGGGTAGGTACTGACAGGGACTCTCTGCCTGGCCAAACTCCACTCAGGCTGCTCTGTACTCTTCGTCAGTGACGCCCCGACGTCTGTCTGTACCTTGCAGGATTGTCTCTTCATTGAAAGTTTCAGCAAGACTCCTGCTAAGTCGGTTCAGCCAGAATTCCCACCCTCAATAGCTCACTACCATTGCTATCTGACCAGTTTTCTCATCCTCCACCCCCTGACTGATGGCTGAGCACCTAGCAGCCTGGTATGGTCAGAACCCTTTACCTTGGTATTTCTTCTTCATGATTTCCCATCTTCTGACCCACACCCTGCTCCTGGCTATAGATTCCTAAGCGCTGCATTCAGAGTTGGACATGATCTCTTTCTCCTGCCACAAAACTGCCTTGTAGTAGCCCTCCACCCCGTTGAGTAAAGTCTTTCTTGCCATCTTCCACAGGAAATGCTGACCCTGGTTCTTTATCTGGGATTCTCAAAAGTGAAGGGCAGTAGAGACTGAGAATATACGTGTGGGGGAAAGCACAGCGTGTGCCAGCCTCCGTGCTGGGCACTTCACATCGGCCACTGCATGTCCGCTTCCCCGGGGCTCTGTAAGAAATGTATTCTATTTGCTTCAGGGTTGGGAAAACACATGCCAAGGGGTGACATGCCTTACCCAAGATCACATAGCTAATAAGGCATAATGCCAGAACCATTCAAACATTCATCCAAAAAATACTAAGTTCTTGTTATGCGCCAGCGGACCTGCTACTGGGATGCAGTTATGAATGAAGCAGAAGTGAGTCCTGTCTTCTCTTTGACCCCAGAGCTTGTACTCTGATCTCATGTGGCCTTTCCAATGTCGTAATGCATAATCATGAGAGTGACCACCTATTGCATGCTTGCATATAAGGCCCTGGGGCCCCTCGGTGGCTCAGTCAGTCAAGTGTCCAATTCTTGATATCGGCTCAGGTCATGATCTCATGGTTTGTGAAATCGAGCCCTGCATAGAGCTTTTTGCTGATGCTCAGAGCCTGCTTGGGATTCTCTCCCTCTCTCTGCCCCTTCCCTGCTCTCTCTCTGTCTCTCTCTCAAAATTAAAAAAATAAAATAAAAATAAGGCCCTGTGCTGTTAGCTTTACTTATATTGCCTTATTTTAATATTGACAATATTTTGACACCATATTCTTATCCCCATTTTACAGAAATGAGGCTCAGAAAGCTTCAGTGTCTCTGCCAGGATCTCAAAGACAGAACAGTCAGGAGGTCCATGCAAGCCTTCTTACTACAAAGTTTCCTCTGTGCTTCTGAAGAGCAGGCCAATACAGGGTTGAGGGGAGTCTTTCACTTATGAGCAAATGTAGAGACAAGCTGATAGACATCTGAATTTTTCTGGTTTCCAACAACATGAATAATGGCCTGAGCTGTTCAGATGCAGTAACAAATGTACAGGACACTAAAATTCAGAATGTGGAGAAGGAAATTTGATTCACATTATAGGTATCAGGTGAAGGCAACCATGTCATGAAGATTAAGATGCATGTCCTTTTGATTTCCTCCTATAATATATGGGGAAAAGAAACTTTTTAAAAAATGCACATAATACCTTTTTCCCAAGTGTAAGAGAAATTTAAAATGAAATACTAGGCAGTGTTTGATATAATCAGCATCTTCCTTAAAAGTATGATGAAGAAGAATATTTCCTGAAGATTGTTCCTTCCCTTCCTGTCTGAAGAAATGTCTCAAAAGCTTATTCCAGATCACAGGCAATGGAATAAAGAGCTTAGTTGAGTGTATGACTACATTTATCCTATTTTTTTTTAAAGAAAGGATTTTCAACTAAAAATCCATCTTGAAAAGATAACAGGACAAAGAGGATTTCTCCATTTCCTTTTGAAAATCCGTATAGTTTGCCAGAGGATTTAGAATTCCATTAGCGCAGCCCCTGTGGCTTACTCCAAGAATGAACTAGATTTAGATGGCTTTGCTCTTGGCCTTTTCTGACACAACACTTTTTTTGGGGGGAGGGGGGAGACAACTGGAGATGCCTTCCTTCATATGGCTACATCTTTCTAGAAAGTTCCTGATCTAAAAGTCCTAGATGGTGGTGGAGGCAGACAGAAGTTTTCATTTTGGAAGTGAGAGGCACTTTCTACTCCTTTCAGGAGGCTGCCATCTATGTCTTCTAGTAGCAGAGGACCGGAAGAGCAGAGGTCACCGAAAACTAGGGAAGCTCCAGCATTGTGGAATCAAAAGCACCAGCCTCCAGCTCTGCCCTTTACTTCTTCTGTGGTTCATTTCTTTTCCCTCCCCCTAACCGAACGGGTAGGTAAGAGGCAAAGTAGCAGTGGCCAGGCACAGAGGTGACCATCAGGGTGAAGGGAGGGGCCTCAGCTCCTTCATCTGTGAAAGGAGGTGCTAGGCCCACTGATATTCCCTATAGCGTAATGCCCACACCCCAACGCAGGAAGTCCAAGACGATTTTAGAATACAGGAACCGGGCACTAAAGAACACCGAACTGGACACTGAGAAACTGATGACCTTTTCAAGTCCCTTCCGATCTTCCTGACTCCATCAGGGAGAATACGTCAGTTTGAGGATAACATTTCTTTAACACTTCCTTCACGTTTGCTGAACTCCCTTATTAGGGAAAACTGGGCAGGCTCAAGGCTCAAACATCTGGACATCATTTCATAACAATGTGGTTGTCATTCTGTTTATTTTGTGGTTATCTTTTATTTATGTCAAATCATGCTGATTTTCCAATTTATGGCTGTGATGATACATTTTTAAAAATAATTTAGGTTTTAAAAATCAGCCAATTTCACTAAAACCATTAAAGAGTAGAGCACATTTTTACAAAGCAATGAGTGGTTTACGTGACTGACAGATGGA